ATCACATAAACACACCCATTCACTAAGTGGAAAAAAATTTATTTTGTGAACACAAGAGTTATTTGACTGACACATGATGATAAGCATAACCATTTTCCCAAATTATTATGCCACTTAAAAAAAGGAAGTGATAATGCCTTGAGGCTTTGAAATGTGATAATGCAAATGAATGCACTGAAGTGTGAATACTGTTCAGCCATACACCCTTTGATACTGCCAAATGTCTATATACCATGTAGAAAAGAGTTTACCGTGCTAAAGTGGGGAATATGCCACTCTGCAATCTGGAACAAATTTCTACAGCTATATTATTTTTCTTTTTTTACTATTAGTTAATATTATCTAAAAATAAAATTAGTTTAGTATATGCTTTAGCTGATGCTCAACTTTTAACAACAAAACTTGAAGTATGGACAAAACTACTAAGTATATTAGTAGCTGACTTGCTGCTAGAAAACTTACAAAAAGATAAAAGTATAAATGTGTAAATTTAATTATGTGCCATTTGCTAAAAAAATGTACTGCTAATTTGAAAGTTTTGGGTAAAAATATGTTAAATGACACCTTATGTGTTTGATAATGGTTCTTGCTGGGCTTCCTTGTATGGCAGTTCTATTTTAAGGACAAGGTGCCAGTTGGAAGATGAACCAAGAGCATAGAAGGAGTGGTTCACAAAGGAAGAAGGAGTAGTGGATGCCTAACAGGAAAAGGAATAGATACCTATTGTATTGTTGGACCTGGTTCTTTTGCATTGTAGCACCTGGTCCTACATAATTTTGGCAGTTAGTATCCACTTTTATTATCGCTTCTCAGCCTTTTGGCTAAGATCAAGTGCAGTTTTATGTGAATTGCCTGTTTATGTAATTTGCTTATTTATTTAATTGGATTGTTCACTAATTTCTTATTGACTTGTAAGAACTAATATTTTAGGTAAACTAGCCCTTATCCCACATGCTATATATATTTTTCACTTTATTATTTGTCTTTGGATTTTGCTTTAAAATTTTATATAAAATTTCTATATGGGATAATATTATATATTATATAATCAGGCGGTAATCAGGCTAATTATTCCTCATTCATTTAACATTTATTATTCACCTAAAAAGATTCAGATACTGTATTAAGTGCTGAGAATTCAATGATGAATTCTAGACAGGAATTCCCTTTAAAGGTTAGTGTACTGGGTTAATAAAGGTTATAAACTTGCCTAACTATTACCAGATGGTGCCATGTAGGTCTTCACAGGTGAAATTTGAACTGAAAGAATGAGTTGATGTTGCCTGGTCAGATTAGAAGGGATTCTGGGAGATCACTTGGCACAGAAGTATCTCTGTGTACGATTTCTACGTTGTCATGACTGAGAATTTTCAGAGTGATGACATGTAGCTCATGACTGAAAACACAAAAAGGAAAAATTCCTGCCACTCTTCTGAGGATTTTTAAACCTTTGGTTAGTATAGTGAAAGATAACAAGGTAACTTAGATTATATTGGAAATTCAGGAGCATTGAGAGTGTTGGGAGGACTCAAAGATATTCTTGGGAGCCAAACAAATCAATCAGCTGTTTCCAGCAGTATTTTGTACTGAGCTCGAAGCTTCAGCTGCTTCTGTGAGTGTGCTGGCATTGCCCAGCAAAGTGATCTTGATTGGACTCCGCTTCTGTGTCCTCAGCTGTAAGGGAGCTGGAAGAGTAGACTGTAGTGTTCCATCCATTTCTGAGGAGCTATGAAAGATGTACAACTAAGTAAGCAACTAGAGAAGAAAAAAAATAGCATCAAGATGAAACTCAATCTAGAAAATGATGCAGAGATAATATCTTAAACAAATAAATTTAAATTGTTGAACTTCTGTTGGTCTTCTCTGTATAAAGTTAAACGAAAATGGATCTTAGTGGAGAATGGGACTGGGATTAGGAAAGGGAGGAGGAGGAGGAGTGGGAGAGAGGGTGGGAGGGCAGGTTTGGTGGGAAGAATCACTGTATTCTTAAAGTTGTACTTATAAAATGCATTAAGTCTGTATTCCTTAACTGAAAAGTTTCTCTGGGGGAAAAATAAACAAAAAAGAATGATAAAAAAAATTCAACAGCCCTCCCACTGTCTGCTGCTCTATGAGCTGCCCCCCCAACACCAACCTCCCTGTAAGCAAAAACTCATCCCTTTTATCCACCATTGGATTCCCAGTGCCTGAGACAGAACTAGGCATGTGGTTGGAGCTCAACCAAGTGAAAATAAAAGGAGAAAAAGTGTAAAAAAATCAGAATCTGCTTTGAGGTTGTTGATCAGTCCTCATATCAATCCCCATTTATTTTTATTTATGTATTTAAATCAATCAATGATTATGCTGACATTTATGTTCTCTCAAAGTCCTTCTAGTGTCTCATATTTATTCAGTATTTTTTATTCATATAATTTTTATTGGCCATTTTTACCTGTTTAATTTATGTGTACACCTGTTCCAAGAAAAGGACTTTATATGACTACAAGGTTTCTAAGACAGAAAAATGTTGATAGATCAAGGCTAAGAGAACGTAAAGGAAAATGGGAAGTTGAAACCAAAGGAAAAGTTAGTACTCAGGAACACATAATCACAATTCTCACCAGAATTCTTCCAAGTACATTCTAAAGAGCTCTAATTCTGTTGTGTGTTAGCAGTTGTTATAAAAACAAAAAGAAGGATATCATCTAGTAACTAACTAAATAAATAACAGTAAAGGGCAACACTGAAGTAAACAACATGAGCGATTCTATTTACAAGATTATTTCTCAGAGCTTTTTCTTTTAAAAAAAAGATTTATTTATTTGTTTGAAAGATAGAGTAATATATAAAGAGGGAGAGACAGAAGGAAAGAGAGAGAGAGAGAGAGCGAGCTTCCATCTGCTGACTCACTCCTCAAATGGCTGCAACAACCATGCTGGCCCAGGCCAAAGCAAGGAGCCAAGGGCTTCATCCAGGGCTCCCACATGGGTTTCAGGGACATAGTAGTTGGGCCATCTTCCACTGCTTTCCCAGGTTTTAGCAGGGAGCTGGATAAAAAGTGGAGCAACCAGGACTGGAACCACTGGAATGCTGACTGCTGCACCACCATGCTGGCCCCTTTCAGAGCATTTCGTCTCCGTAGGCAACTGTCAGGATTTATGTTTCATATAAGAACATCACGAAGCTTTTTCAGGAAAACAAAGCTTTTTGTGGCACTTAACATCTGAGACAGATTTCTCTCTTTGGTCTTTGGAAAGGGGGAAATGAGTGATCAGAGTAGAAAAATCTTCAACATCATTTCTTCACTAAATACAAGTGTCTCACATACATGTTGTAATGTTCTACAGAACACTTCTCACAACAAAAGTATGGAATGTGAATTTCTGTATGTTAGTCTCTCTTGATTCCTTCATATTGAAAATTGTGCTTGTTTGCAGTTGTGCTTGTAAGCAGACTTTACAGCAGTTTTCAAAACTAAATTATAATAATAAAGTTTTGTAAGGACAGAAATTTTATTTTTCATTTTTGCATCTTATTTATTATTATAGTGGTCACTTATAAAAATTCACAGGGACAAAATAGCAAGATATCTAGTAATAGCTTTTAAATTTTCAATTAAGCCTTTTTATATAAAGCTATTTCATAAAGTTCATGGAAAATGTGTATTGTGGACATACCATGCATAGGGTTCAAAAATTTTTTGTACCAAAATAAACTAATCTTATAATTCTATCTTTCCACCAACTTTTTTAAATATCCTCAGATAATAACACCTACAACAAAGTGGGTGTACCTAAATATTTACTCACTGTTGGACAGAAAAGGAAACTACTTTTTATTTTCATCTACTTGCAAGGCAGAAAGAAAGAGAGATCTTCTATCTGCTGATCACTCCCCAAAGGCCTACAACAGCCATGGCTGGGCCAGGCTGAACCCAAGAGCCTCAAACTCCATGTGGGTATCACATGTGAGTGACAAGGGCCAAAATATTTTAACCATCATCTGCTGCCTCCTGAGATGCATTAACAGCAAGCTGGATCAGAACCCAGATAGCCAAGGCTCAAACTGGCTCCTCTGTATTGAATATAGGCATCCCTAGTGGCAGTTTGATCACTGTGCCACAACACCCACCATCTACATATTTATTGTCATAGTATGTAACCTAAAATAAAACAATGTGGCTATTTGATATCATAGACCTCTATACCATTAAGCCAAAATCAGAAATGAAAACTTCAGCTAAGACCGTTTTCTATTTGTGATTATGAGGACGCTATCCTGGACTTCTTAATGATTGGGTGTGCTGAGAAGTTTGAGACACATCCTTTATTGAAGGAAACAGGGGGTTATATGCTAGCACTTACTGTGTACACTGCTGCAGGAATTTGCATCATAAAGGGTAAATCTTGTGCTGGCTCTCAGGAGAGGGCTGAGCGGCCTTAGCAAATTGCTCTTAGCAAATCTGTATTGTCTGAATTATTGCTGTCACCCTTAAATTTGTAGTTTAACTTTATAAAAATGCTGCATCTGTATTGTAGCCGAATGACACTCGTGCTCCAACAGTGCTTCCATAGCATGAGTTGTAGTCTCTCACAACGGTCTGTTTAGATAAGTTTTCCCTAATATGGTAGTTGTCTGCTTCCCCTTCTCCTCACTGGATTTCTTGTACACCAAAGCTAAATTTTCATTATATATGTTGTAAATAGACAAGAAGATAACATAAAAATACTATTTTGACCTTAATAGTTAGAAGCGGATCATGTCTGATAATCCAGTTTACTGAATCTCTGAGTAACTCAAAGTCTATAATTGTTGTACTTATAGATCATACTGTTTGGTAGTTTTTGGCAAGTACTGTGATTTGTAATTAATATCAACATTCAATTTGTAAAAACACAATACAAATAATTTTTGTTCTGTGATTAAAATGAGTTAATATTGAAGGCCAATCAGAATACTTATCAATAAGAATGTCTAATGTGACTATATTAAACAAAATGTTTCCTTTTATCTTTTTATAGCCAATTGGTGCTTTGAACCCAAAGAGAGCTGTGTTTTATGCAGAGCGTTATGAGACATGGGAAGATGACCAAAGTCCACCCTACCATTACAATACACATTATTCAACAGCAACATCTACTTTATCCTGGCTTGTTCGAATTGTGAGTGTCTTCCTTATATTTCCATTTGCCTTGACTACATTGAAGTTTTTTTTTAACCTAAGTAATTAAATTAAAATCTGTTATGCTTGGTGCCTGTTTTGTAAAGATTCGAAACCAGCAAAGTAGCAACTAGAAATTACAACCTCTAGCAAAAGTGATGTTTTTAAACAAGTTGATGCATTTGCAAAATTAGGTGAGAAAAATATTATTGTGAGCTTCTTCTTGCCCTGTATAAAGGAACCAACCCTCTGGAGCCCATCCTCTCCTCACTAAGGACACAAGCTGGCACTTACCACCACTTCCTCCTCACTCCTGCTTCTTGGGCAACATGTTTAAAACTGTTAAAACCAGGCCAGCGCCACGGCTCACTAGGCTAATCCTCCGCCTTGCGGCACCGGCATACCGGGTTCTAGTCCCAGTCGGGGCGCCGGATTCTGTCCCGGTTGCCTCTCTTCCAGGCCAGCTCTCTGCTGTGGCCAGGGAGTGCAGTGGAGGATGGCCCAAGTACTTGGGCCCTGCACCCCATGGGAGACCAGGATAAGTACCTGGCTCCTGCCATCAGATCAGCGCGGTGCGCTGGCCGCAGCGTGCCAGCCGCGGCGGCCATTGGAGTGTGAACCACCGGCAAAGGAAGACCTTTCTCTCTGTCTCTCTCTCTCACTATACACTCTGCCTGTCAAAAAAAAAAAAAAAAAAAAAAAAAACTATTAAAACCATTTCCAACTGTTTTGAAGACCTCTTCCTGCAACATTCTCTTTTTTCCTAAGCCATAAATATATCTATTATCTCTGATTTTATTTAAGCCTCCTTCCAGCCCCTACCCACTGTGCAGCTGCTTCCCATTTCTCTCCCTTCACAGTCTGGTTAGTGAAAGTACAGCCTTCATTGGCTGCCCTAGTCTATCCTTGTGGCCACCACTTGATCACTTCTCATTCAGTCTTTTACCCTGTGATTTAGGTTCCAAACCCACCACTTTGCACATTAGAGCAAGTGGGGTAGAGCCTGCCATCTCTCACCCATCATGTCTCTGAAGCACTTTACACCATTGCTAACTTTCTGCTGCTTGAAATTCTTTCCTCTCATGTCTCCTCTTACAATATCCGCTCCTGATTTTCCTTCCATCATCCTAACTGTCCTGCTCAGTCTCCCACTCATATTTCTTTTCCTCAATGTTTCTGTTTCTGAATTTATATACTTTAGCTGAGCTAAGTCATTCGGCTATAAGCAAGGAAGTTCCAGCTTCAGTCTTCATCACACTTTCTTTGTGGACTCCCTACTTACATGTCCAAGTGCCCACTGTGTATTTCTTCTGAACATCTCACAATAACATAATTTCAAAACAGGAACTCCTTATGTCTCTAATGAATCTGTTATGATCCCTCATGTTTACCTTTCCAAATAAATGACACAATCATTCCCTTAGTTGCCCAATGTAGAAACTGGAGAGCTTTCCTAGATGTTTTCTCTGTTTTACCAACCCCTTACGTGCAATCAGATATCCATAGGTTCTACCCACAAAATGTCTCTGCAATCCGTTTATTTTTCTCTATTGACTTGGACTCTTCCCTTAGTTCCCATTATTTCACATCTAGATTATTGCAAAAAGTTCTTAACAAATCTCTTTGCCTTTAGTCTTTCCTTCTCCAATGGAGGCTAGTAAGGAGCAGTTATTGGAGTCAGATGGCCCTATTGATTGGTTTTTGTTACTATAAGAGATGGAGGAGTACTGTACAATGCTAAATGAAATCTCTAGTTCAATATAATCAATAATGTTTTCTTCCCTTATCAAGATAGAGTTTAGGCCACTCTGTTGTGTGGTGCTGACATGCCTCAGAAACACACAAGGAAAGCAGCATAGACAAAAAAGGCATCTCCTATTTTCAAAGATATTTTCTCCCTAAGCATATAAAGCAGCTTTCATTTGGAGATCTCCCTTGAGTATTCTCTGTATTAGCAAATTGAATTTGCAACAAAACCACTAGTAGGTGATATACTGTAAACAATTATTATTTTTTAGAAGTTAAGCAGAATGGTGGTAAAGTTAAATTAACATTTTTTTTTAAAGTTAGAGTTACAGAGAGAGAAGGAGAGACAGAGAGAGAAAGAGACATAGAGAGAGAGAGAGGTCTCCCATCTGCTGGTTCAGTACCTACATGGCTGCAACAGCCAGGGCTGGACCAGGCTGAAGCCAGGAGACAGAGTGCTTCATCTGGGTCTCCATTTTGGGTGCAGGAGCCCAAGGCCTTGGGTCATCTTCCACTGCTTTCCCAGGTGCATAAGCAGGGGGCTGGATTGGCAGTGGAGCAGCCGGGATGCCAGCATCAGAGTCAGCAGTTTAAACCACTATGCCACAATATCAGCTGGAACACAAATTTTATATCTTTCATAATTCTATATAAGCATAAGAAGTTAAGGAAGTTCAGATTAACCAGTCCATTAAGACAACAAACACTAATTTATTTTAGAAAATAAATTCTATATTGATAAACTAAGAGAAAGAAAACTGTTATTTCATTTTTAAGATTGAAGTTATTTAATTAATTTGTCTAAAGATTCACCTTAATTATATGAACTTGTATTCTTTTATAAATGTTTCAGAGCTAGAAGTTTCATTTTTTAAACTCCAGCACTATTAAAGATATTAGAAGTTCTATGTAATTTTTCTATTAATTTTGAGAATATTAGATTTATATCAATCCTTGCTTATCACTATAAAGCAAAGAGGACAAAGCAACACAAATAGAAGGGTGGCATTAATCATTGTCCCAGAGAGGTGCCAAGATGCCTTGCACTTGCACAAGAGGTAAAGGCTTCTGAGTCGCAGACACAGAAAGCTTACTGCTTCATCCTGCAGTTTCAGCTACAGGTCATAACTAAACACAGAAACACCAAAATGTGCCAGTTAGGATCTCAAACAACTAGTTTCTTTTACAAAGGACATAAAACATGATCTTAATGGATTTAAGCTGGCAAATAGGCAGATAAAACCTAGGTGACTAGTAAATTAAACTCCCTGATCACCAAACGATCAAAATGTAAAACTGAAATCTCAATCATTACTATCACCCATGGGAAATGAATTATTAGCTGTGCATGAACCAAAAACAATGCAAAAAGTCAGGTAAAGGAGGAAAATTTTAAAACTTACATAAAAAGAGTGTCAGTGAAATTTAAAGTTTTGTTTCTGCTTAGGAATTGCTCTGAAAGACAAGAACAGATGAGCCTGGGCTTAAACAGCCCATAAGATACATTTCTTAAGCTACAAAGTCGATTTGGCTTCAAGTTAGTGTGCATGGAAATCTTAGAGAGACCTTCAAAGCTGTTAGAGGAGGAAAATTTTAGGAAATATAAACCAGAGATTTTCATCATGTGAGGAATTGACATCCTACCTCAGGTTCCATCACAGTCATTGCTGGGGTGGACATTTGGCACAGTGGGTAAGACACTGCTTGGGACACTTGCATCCTATATCAGAATGCCTGGGTCTAAGTCCTAGTTCTACTTCTGATTCCAATTTTCGGCTAATGCACATCCGGGGAGGCAACAGGAGATGGTCCAGGTACTTGGGTCCCTGCCACCCACGTGGGAGGATCCTAACTTTGGCCTGATTCAGCCCTGGCTATTGTGAACATTTAGTGAATGAACCAATGAATAGAATCAATCTTTCTCCCTCTCTCTCTCTCTCTCTCTCTAACATTCTCTCTCTCTCTGCCTTTCGCCCTTTCTCCCCCCTCTTCAAAATAAGTAACTCTAAAAAAATTTTAAAGACAATAATTGCCTTTCCTTAGTGAGCCAACTCCATAGGGTGAGAAGGACACCCTTCTCAGGTGTTTAGAGGGTTGAAGAAAAGATTCAGAAACAACTTCTAACAAAGTGTTATCCACTGGATTGTTTTGAGAATTAAATAAGAGTAATATATGGTATTTAAAGTGTAATTAAAGTATAATAAAGTGCTAATAGATGATTTTTATGTAATCAAATTTGTCTGGAGCCAGATTTGTAATATTTATTCAAGTGTGAATCCACCAAATATTCAAGAGTCTAATTAAGTTAACCCTCTTCTATCCCTAATAAACTAAATACCTTCTCAAATCATGTATCATAATTCATCTTTAAATTGACTGATGGGGCCGGCGCCAGGGCCCACTAGGCTAATCTTCCGCCTGTGGCGCTAGCACCAGGTTCTAGTCCCGGATGGAGTGCCAGATTCTGTCCTGGTTGCCCCTCTTCCAGGCCAGCTCTCTGCTGTGGCCCGGGAAGGCAGTGGAGGATGGCCCAGGTGCTTGGGCCCTGCACCCGCATGGGAGACCAGGAGGAAGCACCTGGCTCCTGGCTTCATATCAGGCACAGCATGCCGGCCACAGCGCGCCGGCAGTAGCAGCCATCTGGGGGTTGAACCAACGGAAAAGGAAGACCTTTCTCTTTGTCTCTCTCTCTCACTGTCCACTCTGCCTGTCAAAATAAATACATACATACATACATAAATTGATGATTCCAGTGAAATAGAATACAGAGTTAAATGTATACGTGGAAGTGGAAGAATATTCACACGTATTTATTCTACACATCTCCCTTAAAATTCTCTGTAGCACTGCTGCACAATAGAAATATAATGCAAGCTGCCTAAGTAACTGAAAATTTCTGGGAGCCATATTTAAAAAGTTAAAAACACCAGATGAAATTAATATTAGTAAATATTTGTTAACCCAATATATGCAAAAATATTTTTTCAGAGATTTATTTACTTACATATTTGAAAGAGCAACAGAAAAAAGAGGAGAGCTGGAGAGAGATCTTCCATCTATTGGTTCATTCCCAAAATGTCCACAGCAGACAGATCTGGGCCAAGCTTTAGCCAGAAGCCAGGAACACCATCCTGGTCTCCCCCACGGGTGGCAGATGTCTAAGTACTTGGGCTGTCCTCCACTAATTTCCCTGACATGTGAGCAGGAAGCTGGATCAGAAGCAGAGCAGCCAGGATTTGAACCAGCACTCTGATA